GGTTGGGTGTAAAAAATAAGATAAAGTGGAAAAAAAAAAAAAAAAAAGCAGCTTCGTTACCGAAAAGAACCATTCCCGCTCCTCCCCGCCCCCAAAAAAATCCCTCCTCGCCCCACGCCGCCACCGCTTTTTGGTGCAAAACAACAACAAAAAAAATGACGTTTTCCGCCCCAAAACGCTCCGGTTGCCGCCGTCTCCGAACGCGGTTTTGTCTTTTTTTTTTTTTTTTTCCCTGAGATATTTGGGCTCCTCGAAGCCCTTTTCGGTTCAAAGAGGCACTGAAGAGTCGCGGCAACGCTACCGAAAATTTGGCGCTCGGGAGGTGACCAAAAAAAAACCCAACAAACAAAAAACCGGCACCGTCGGTAGAGCGAAACCAGTAAAAACCAGTTTGGGCGCGTTGGGGCACCGGTTGGCGTCGGGCAGAGGATTTGGGGGTTTATTAAGTTGCCGATCGGCGCCGTGGGTGCGCCGACGGGCGTTATTTCGGTGCGGGAAGCGGCGCTCCCGGGGGGAAGGGTGCGTTAATACTGTTAATGAGCTCGTTTGCTAACGTGACGCTACCGGTGACCCGCTCCGCAACCGGGAGAAGACTTTGGGTTAAAACCAGGCGATTTTGAGTAATTTCAAGCGGCGCCGGCACTCGCTCGATGGCCGTCACCGCGATCCAAGCCCCCGTCATTAATTACCGCTCCGAAACGGGCGCGGTTACCCCAAAACACGCAACCGGCGGCTCCGAAATGCGCACCGGATCCCAGCTCACCGGATAGGTAGAGAGAATTGGGGCAAAACCAGGGAAAAACAGGGAAAACCAGGTCAAGAACGCGGCTGTTTGCCACGGTGCCGCGGAAAAAAGGGGCGGCGATGTTTTAGGGGCGCCAACGGGCGTAGCCGGGAACCGGTTTTGCTTCCGGACGAGGATTTTGGTGGAAAATGAGGGAAAAAAAGGCAGAAAAAGGGGCACCGTCCGGTTTGCAGCGTCCGAGGTTCCGGAAACACCGAGGACAAGGGGTCGACAACCCCAAAATGGCGTCCGCGGCACGGCCGCGGCACAACCGACAGGCGTCAGTGGGAGGCTGCCAGCGGCGACGCCAGTTTCTGTAGCCGCCTTCGTCCAGCGAGGATGAGCCTTCACCGCCGTCCTCGTCCTCCTCTTCCTCCTCGGCGGTGAAGCCTTCGGCACCCGCCGGCGCGGTGGGATCTGGTAAAGGGGAAAGGCACCGGTTTAGCGTCCGGTAAAACCGGTAAACTCAGCTTTAACCACGAGCCAGGCTCAGGATTGGGGGTTTGCCGGGAGACGCGCTCCCCAGCGGCGTCTTAACCGGGGATTCGGCTTTTAAAACACCGGGGCTAATTAGCGGAGGAATTAACGACGGCGGTAATTAGCCGGTGATAGAGAAATAATAATTAGGCGGTTATAAAAGGGTACGGCGGTGGGTTTGGGGGGCAGTGGGACCCCCGGGA